CAATGGTTTCCATTCTTTAAGGTAGTAGTTGTTTGAGTTTTCTTTTAATAAGCAAGTCAGTTTATCATTTTCTCAGTTTTAACAACCATTCTTGTATTGTTGGTAGTGTCTGGGTTTTCCAAAAGTGTGGATAAAGTCTCTTCCTTTTAATCAGGTGAAATTAGATAAGAGTTTCCCCCTCTAGCCCAAGTGACAGGAAGAGTGATAAAGCTAGTTTTTCCTTTCCTTATTTACTGGTCCACTGGTGGATGCAAGGAGAGTGTCAAGTATGGACGGAATCAAGGGGAGGGGGCTTATTCCAAAGGTCTATCAATTGAAACCCCAAAGACTCACCCATGGAAGGAAAGTTACTGTGTTGATTTTCTTAACATAGATGGGAAGAGTAAAGCAGCAGGAGAATCTCACCAGCTGGGGTCCTTGGTAAGCACAGTCTGCAGAGGACACCAGGCCATCATTGTGGCCAAAGCAGAGCATGGAGTTGAGCTCTGGAAGTGGCCCCCAGGACCTGTCCCTCAAGTGATAGGTGCATTTTGGCTTCCAAACAGTTGCCAGCCTTGTATTAGATAGAAGTTAAGGGAGTGTGAGGGAAATGGTGTGCTTGTGGGGGTTCTCGCTCATATACAAAATTACTAGAATAATAATGGGAGATACAGGACAGACAAAAGGAAATACTGTTTCATACACACATGCTGCATAGTTAACTATTGGAATTTGTTCCCACAACTAAACCTGCTTTCACATTTCTATAACTGGAAATAGAAGCCAACTGACTGAAATAGAAGCCAACAAATGATGGACTTTAAACAGCTCTGTGGGGCTGGTGGTAAGATGGCGGCAACAGTGCTCTTACACATTAAGTGGGATGCTTAGTTTAGCATGCCATCAAGAACCATGTTTGATACTGTTTGATACTCTGAATGCCAATTACTGGGGAACACAAGGTGCTATTGAGCTTAAGTTCAGCTTGTGGGTTTCCCATAACCTTTCCACTGGCCAGAATGGAAACAGAAGATTGGGATCTTCATTCATTGCTGCTGGTGCTGCTGTTGTTAACCTAAAAGACAGGCATCAGATTAAAGGCAACCTTATTTGATTGTCCTTACTTAAAAACTAAATGGCAAAAAATGGCTTGTATATTATTACTTTCAAGTTAAAGGACAAATCTCTTATAACTGATAAATAACATTCGGGTTCCTTTTCATGAGGGAAAGCTATAAACTATACTCTTTAAGTGGGACACAGTATGCTTAAGTGTCATGAATGAGACTATCTTAGGATGAAATAACTGAACAGCCAAGGGAATAAGTCCCAAATGTATAATGCTAAAAAAAGGAAGCAAAAGTTCTTGAGAAGCTTTATGTAATTCAAACAGTTTAAAATGAGTCAACTTCAACTGAAATAAAGATCATTCTGTTCCCAAATAGGAGAAATATCTCCAGCAATAACTGCAAAATTCTGAGTGGGATTCAGAGGTTCCACAAGACTGAAATTTCAGTTACATTTAATATAATGTTTGGAGGGGGGAGAGGTATGTAATCTTTCAAGTACAGTATTCCATCTCCTGACGACCCCTCGGTGTCTGGCTGCAGGCTCCCCACTTCTTTAAGCAAGGAGAAATTCCAGGGACAGGATTCAGTTTTAGACTCCTTTTGGGGAAAGATTAAAGGGGTCAGTGCCCCTCTCTCCCTCTTTTTAAGAACATTTTCCCACACACAAGCACCCAAGGTCTAATTGGATATAACGTATTCAATGTATGTATAGTTTTGGTATACTTAAAGCAATGGTATACAGTTTTGCTACTCACCCATTTTTTCATAGAAAGTTTGCAATCCAGATGATTTTAGTATGTATGTACATATGTATAACATTATTCACTCTTTCTTGTTTAAACGGCTGCTTTTTCACCCTGCCACGACATCTCTCAGCCGAAGGACGGATATCTCCATTCTGGCGACTTTCTTAAGAGATTCTACTGTTCCTCTGTTGTAATGTAGAGAAAAATATTGGTCTAGACAGACCTCAGCGTGAAACGCAGCTGGTGCAAATTCTCTCAGCAAGGGCTACGGAAGTTACTACACGGTAGTTCAAAACCCCTCGGGGAACAGTGGTGTTCCCTCTTCTCTTACCCCTTTTCTGCATTCTGACCTTAGGTCTGTCAGACGACCTCTTCCCCAACATCCGCTCTCTTTTTAAAAACCTCTCCTCAGACGAAGGATCTTTCCATGAACCCTTCGGCTTATTCTGCAGCGTTTTGTTTTTTCCCATACAAGCCGACCAAACAGAGCCGCGCTTGAGCCTGTTCAGCTGCCCTCAGCTGGTCGCGGCGTGAGTTCAGGGGCTTGTCGCTCGGCTTGTTACTCCTATAAAGCCACCTAACCCAGAACAAGAGGAAGGCGCAGGGGTCCTAAAAGCACGCCGCCCGGTCCAGTAATCTCCCAGTCGAAGCCACGATTCCTTGTTGACACAGCCGCTGGCTGGGCGATGTCTCTTTAAAAGAGATCTCTGCCCAGGTAAAGGGGGCGGTCCCTCTGCCCTCCCCCTTTTCCTTCCCTGCGCGTCTGTCACTGGGGATTAGCAGCTGCAGCCAGCTCAGCGCCAGAGGATCAGGCTCTCCGGGAGAGCGAGAGACAGATTGAGATTGCGCAGGGTGGGCTGCGGATGCCGACATGCACGTTCCCCCCCCCGCGCTGGTAAAACTTGGGCGCTCCTCCTAGCGGGTGAGCAAAGGAGGCGAAAGGGGAGGAAGCTTTGGGCTTCGCGCCGGGATTCCACTTCCTGGAGGAGCCCTCCCGGAGCACAGGTCTCCTGCGTTCCTGCTGCGCCGACGGAGAGGAGGCGCAGGAGCCGCACCCGCCCACGATGAAGGACCGGCTGGAGCAGCTGAAGTCGGTGAGTATCGCCCACCCCCTTGCTGGGTCTCCCACCGGGAGGAGCAGGACGGGGACTGGGGAGGAAAAGGAACTCTGGCTGCTCTCAGTGGAAACTCCCTTTAACTCCGTGGGGTTTACTTCTGAATAAACATGCACATGATCCGGTATCGGGAATCCATTGACGCAGAGAAAGAAAAGCGTTTCAGTCCCCGCCCCCGCCCCCGCTCCCCGAGTCCAGTTGGATATGCCTATAGGGGAAGTATTATATAATTCAGGGACAGTACTGCACCTCTTCCTAGGTGGGGACAAGCTGGGGGCATATCTATCTGTCCGTTGACTTCTCCATTAAAAAATAGCAAAGGGGCTGTAGCCTGGCAGGTTTTAAACTTGCTGGAAAAATGAAGGTAGAAGGTGTGGGGAGAGCAAAACCAGTGGGGTAAAGCTGGGCATTCCGTGCCACAGCACCAAGGGTGCATGGTACAACCTGCAAGGCACACAAATCCTAAGGGGCCACCACTGTTACCAACTACCTGGTGTGTGTCTGACCTCTAAGGGGGGGGGGGGTTGATCAGAAGAGGTGTCTGGATGTAGCAGTGTAGTCCTATCAATAACAGACTTAATCTGAGTAGTTGGAAAACGGGCAAAATAGTGAGTCTGTCGTCTTCAGAAGCTTGAAGAGGGTTAAGCGAAGAGTGCCACCCATTTCTTTCCATGCATGAAAAAGATAAGCAGAATCAGCACTTCCTCCTTTTGATTTCCCTCCTTGTGACATTCAGGTTTTACCTGGTAAATG